GAGTCCTGTGCCCCACGGGAGGTGGGCTGGGGCTCCCATTCTTGTGGTACTGTAGGAATTCTCACCATTTATCATTCGGGGTAACCTTGTCCCAAAATGCTTGGGCCAGAAGTGTTTCAAATTGCAGATTTTTTTTTTCGGACTTTGGAATATTCACATACACAATGAGATATCTTGGGGATGGGACCCAAATCTAAACACAAAATTCATATATATTTCATATACACCTTATACATAGGACCTGAAAGTAATTTTATACACTGTTTTGTTTTGCAGAGTTTTGGGTTTTTTTGGTTTTTTTTTTGGAGAGGTTTTAGCTATAGGGCGCGTGCGCTTGCCAGACAGACAGAGAGAGACAAAGAGACACAAAGCGAGAAATCACCCCCCAGGGGGGATGGTCACGCCGCAATCCCTTCTCCTCCATTCTCCTCTCAGGATCTTGGGCACGCACACACGCGCCCGGCGTGAGTTTAAGCCACCGGGTCCAGGACTCGAACCATGGTGGACTACGTGGGAGTCCAGCGACATAGCCATTATGCTAACCACTGGTCCCTGTTTTGCAGAGTTTTAACTATGATCCATCCTACAAGATCAGATGTGGAGTTTTCCAATTGTGGGGTTAGGTCAGGGCTCGAACAGTTTTGGATCTGGGAGCATTTAGGATTTTGGATTTTTGTCTACTAACACCGACACAGGATGTTCAGAGAGACCTACCAGTTCGCTTAATGATTTCCCAGACACCCCATGGGGTAGCCGGTAACATGGAATACTGATCCAAACACATCCGCCCTACATTAATGACATGAAAGCCATCGACATCCTTGTCTGGAGAGACGGCATTGCAGACCTTCCTCTCATCAATGTGCTCTGAAAAAGAAACCAGAGGCGAGCCTTCAGTCGCTGTGGGGCAGTTAGCACGGCGTGACTCCCGCTCACACGGCTTGGGATATGAACCCGTTTCCCTTCTACGACCTGCCCCCATGATTTACCTCTCCATCAGCAGATGGACCTCCCACGGAGAAAGCGAGCTGCCAGCTGCATCCCTGCACTGTCTTCTGTGTCAAGATCTCAGTACCAGGCCAGGGGCGGATGGTCTTCCGCTAGGTCTGCCCCATGGCCAATAGAATATTCGCTCTCTCTGGAGTTCACCTCACCTCTAAGTTAACTCCATACGCAAGGCTGAATAGATAAAGCAACCAAGCCTCTCCATTTAAAAAAAATTATCTTATTTAACTTAATTTATGATATTATTATTATTATTATTAGCTTGATCAGGCACAGAGAGAGGAGAAAAAGTGAGAGAGCAAGCCGCCAGGTCCAAGACTTGAACTGTGCTCGGCCATGTTGGGAATCTAGCGCCCTTAACCACCACACCACCTGTGGTCCCAAAGCCTCTCCATTTTAACTGTGAAGTCCAAAACTCACCTGGAAGAGGCAGCTGAACAAGGAGGCCATCTACATTGTCATCGTTATTGAGCTTATTGATTAAATTCAACAGTTCTTCCTCTGAAATCGAGGCTGGTCTCACAATGGTCTCACTGTTGATTCCTATTATAAGGAATGTCAAGGTTAGAAGCAATGCCAAGGCCTTCGTGAGCACAGCCACCAGAGGCTTCTCATCACTGCGCCCACTGGGCCGCTCAAAGCTGACGGGGCTCCCGAGGAACCTGCGGAAGTAACTTCTCCCATGTACACGTGGGAGGAAACAGCTCGGTGCTCTCTCCGTCACCCCACGCGCACTCCTTTACCAGACAAGGGACTGACACACGCACCAGCACGTGGCAAAGCCCGTCTCTCCAGCTCCAGAGTCCGCGTTCCTGCCACTGCACCTGCTGCACCTCCCCCACAGTGAGTGTTCAAAGTCATGGCTTGCTGCTCGTAATTAAAAGGGCAAGTGGTTTCGATCCTTGGCAATAAAGAATAGGGCATACCAAGGATCCATGGACCAGGAACCCTGCCTGGACATACCAGAGGTTCGACAGCCCTTCAGAAGGGAAGGGCATCCTGCACCCAACCCACTGGCCCCATGGAGGAGCAGGCAGAGGTGCAGCTAACTAAGCTCACCCACTTCCTGTCTACACGGTCACCGGCAATGCGGTACACCGAGACCTAGAATGCAAACCTAGCACCCAGACCTAACCCACCTTCTGAACTGATGACTGGCTTTGGAACCAATGGGTGAAGAACTCAGTATCTACTTCCCAGAACTCAAGTCATTTCCTTCAAATCTATGACTATGGTCTCAGCCACATCACCGAGGTCTCCAAATAACCTGTTGCTCGATCTGTCCCCCAGTACTGCTTAAAACCACAAACACCCAAACACCCCAGAGACCCTCGTTATTGTTTGAGAAAAGCAAATATAAAACGTACTCAAGATCTTTTGTCAAGTGTGACTTTCAAGACCAAGAACAGAATTTAGCTTATGTTCTAGAAGATTCTGAGAATACCGACCACATTCCTCCTGTCCTAGTCTGCAAGCCTTCCCAACAGACACAGCCCGGGTTCCTTTTGACCACAGTTTGGCACGTGAGCTTCCTCTGCTTGGGGTTTCCAATCGCAACTTACAATAGCGTCTGCCTGGGATAAACCTTAGTTTAACAGCAGTTGGGGTCTGAGAGTGACACGTACCCACATCTGCAGCTGCCCTGGTTTTGTTGAGGACATAGGAGTGACTTGCAGGATTCTCACCAACCAGAACCACGCTCAGGTGGGGCCGTTTGTTGCCGGAGGCCACCCACTCTTCCACCTCCTGCCGCACTTCCTGCTTGATCTGCTGGGCAAGTTTCCTTCCAGAAATGACAACGGCTTCATTTCTGCAGAAGGCAACAGAGTCACAAAACCAAACAGCTTGAATTGTCATACAAAGGAAAACTCAGGCTACAAAGAAATAAGGAGAACTCGACGTTTAGATGAAATACGTGGCGCCTAACGTGAGGGACAACTGGAATCCGAGAGATTCGAAGTGGCACGTCTGTGCCCAACTCCATATGCAGGGGGACGAAGTGGATTGAAATCATTTCTGTCATTAGTCTGATGATCAGTTCGACTGACAGTTTGTACTTAGCCAAAATGGGTCTCCTATCAGTCCACACCATCTGTCCACCTGGCTGATGCAAAACTGATCAGTTAAAAAAAAAGGTCAATTTTCAGGACCAGTACATGGTGTAACGGTTACCTTGCGGGACTCCCACGTAGTTGACAGCAAGAGGAGAATGGAGGAAAAGGGACTGCAGCATGATCATCCCCCCAGGGGGGTGATTTCTTGCTTTTTGTCTCTCTGTCTTTCTCTGTCTGTCCGGTGAGCGCACAAGCCCTATAGCAAAAAGCTCTCTTTAAAAAAAAAAAAAAAAAGTAAATTTTCTTTGTTTAGATTTACATTTCTTGGTCAGTCAACACTGTAAGGTAATTAAACAGTTTTTCCTACATATTTGAATGCCATATTTGATCTGTGTTGTTTGCATCCAGTCATGTTTTGAATCATTTCGCAGTTAGTGAATTGGTTTTAATTCTTATGCATTTTTAATGTTTTAAAAAAAAGAATTATTGGGAACCAGCAGTTAGCGTAATGGCTATGTCGCTGGACTCCCACGTAGTCGACCGTGGTTCGTGTCCCGGACCCGGTGGCTTAAAACTCACGCCGGGCGCGTGTGCGTGCGTGCCCAAGATCCCGAGAGGAGAATGGAGGAGAAGGGATTG